TCGACGGCTAAAGAGGAGACACGTATTCCTTGTTGCTACAGCACACACGAGGCACGCCGCGGTATAAATCTACAAAACATAGGAGGGGAAACTTCAAGACTGACCTATGAGTGAAAACAACAACAAATTGGGACCTCTCGCTGGATTTCTGATGGGATATCGCTGAAATTGAAATTCATGCATTAGGCGAGCAATGGATGACATAAAAAAAAAATTGGACGGAGTGTACATTGCACGCATTGAGCAAGGTAGAGAAATATTTTAAACATCTAGATATTTAAATATTACATCATTTATTCATTTAAATAATTGGTTCTTAACAACAAAATACGCCAAATGTCATTATAGCTAGTATGATACTAAATTTAATACGTATTGACATTATCGTCTGCTATTAAAGCTAGAGTTATGAAAATATAGACTAATGATTCTGTCGTCTGTTATTAACTGATAATAACTGCTGGAAATATAAAATGCCGATTTTGTTGAGTGATGGTGTTAATATGTACGGTTTAAAAGGAATTGGAAATGTCTAGATTAATAGCAATACAAAAAATAATCATAAAAACAATAGTGCCTACGTTATGAATAAATAGGGATGGGCAGATATAATTAACATTACTGAAATAAAGAAAAAAGTGCTATACAAAAAAACAACTTAGGATACCATTTTGGGTTCTGCTATTTTGGGGGGTATTATTGGACAAAGGTAATTAAGACAACTACAAATTCTATGTGAGAAATTTTCCTTCTTTTTCATTCATTCATCAATGTTATAAAAAAAATTGTGTTAGGTTTATTGTCGAAATTTAAAAGATGTGTGTTTTGCAGCACAAGCCACTTACAATGTTGTAAAGTTTTCACAAATCTAAGAGCGGGAAGGAGAGCAGCACCAAAGCGCGTTTTGTTCTAAAGACAGTCTAAACTGAGAGAAAGTAGATCGAACATTATTACATTTTTTTCTTTTCTGAACGCATGTTTTGGTTTAAGAATTCAAAGTTAACCAGAGGATTTCAATCAAAACTAAGAGAGAGAGAGAGAGAGAGAGAGAGAGAGAGAGAGAGAGAGAGAGAGAGAGAGAGAGAGAGAGAGAGAGAGAGAGAGAGAGAGAGATTATTGTTGGTGGTACTGTTACTAAAGGAAAATAATGAAAGGGGGAGGGGCGTGTTTGGAGGAGTGGATTTGTTATGCGGTGGGGGCGGGGTTTGGTCGGGGCGGGGTGGCTAGGTTGCTGGGTATGTGGTTTGGGGGCGACAGTGTGCGTCAAAATTATAGGAGTAGCGGGTCAAAGTTGTTGAGTGGCCCAGACCAAGGCCAATCACCCTCTTAAAGAAACTGTGGCCCAGCTTGGGGCCATAAGCAGTCGCAGAAGTACTCAGTGCAAAACGCGACTATAATCCGATATGCCTTTTAACCGTTCCTATTCAAAGTAACGCTTTAATTCCTTTTAACTCTTCCTTGCAGTTTTTCTATTTTCGATGAATTTTTTTTACCGACACCCAAAAAGATAACATTGACTTTCTATATCACGTAGCTTTTGTACGTTCTTGAATGTGTAGTTTTGGAAATTAAAGTTCCAAGTCAGATACATTAAGCGACTACTCCGTTAAAAAGGACAGAGCTAAAAATATTTACTGTTAATAATTTCATTAGAAAATGAATATGATAGCACTGTTTCATGCTTCATTTTATTTTACAATTTCCTGTATAATAATATTTTGACAGTTACCTTCAGGACAGAATGATAAAGGCTCTTAAATTTGTTCGCAGTAACAGGGGATCAGCCGAGACAGATTCTTCCTTCGGCACTCCCACAAATAATTTTAAAATGTAAATACACAGAATAATATGTTAATGGTGCAAGTAGATTTTAAAACAGTACAGTGCTGTCATAAGCAAACTGGAAATAACGTTTACTTCGGACAATTTTTCATTGGCTTGAAAATCTGTACGGGTGTTTCAGCTATCCCAATAGCATCTCCCTTCTGGCTGTCACCCGAGGTTGACCGCCCTCTCGCAGCCCCCCCCCCATTAGAGCGCCACTGAGAAGTAATATTTACTTTTGTTTCACTTGTGAAGTGTTTTTTTATTATTATTTATTGGAAAGATAAACCAAAGCACTAAATACTAATAAACATACATGTAGTGATTTCAGCATGAGGAGGGTAGAAGTAGTTTTAGCTAGAAATAGCACAATTTGAAATTGAAAGCACAAGAAAGGAACATTTCTCGAAAATGAATCCCACAGATAGAATTCAGAGACAGTCCATGAGAGAACTACAACCATTACTACTTCAGCTGTGTATATTGATGATATTATTTGCTTTAGGGTTTTTTTCCCCCCTTTTGCAGCTTTTATTTCTTGATCTGTTAAGGTAGTCAGTATTCTCATTATAAATGAACCTAATAAAAACCTTCAAGTAATTTGATGCTTTTGACAAATATCACTTTACTTAGAGAACCACGTACCGGTATAATCACTATACTTATAACTATTTTTTTAATTTAAAAAATGCAGTACGCGTATAGAGATCAGAATTAAGAGATTTGATGTGTGATGTGATTATGAATTTTAACGTAGCTTTAACAATTTTTTCAGACATATCGCTACGATGTCTGCCGTGTGGCAGTTTATAGTGATGTATAGCACTGGGGCATCAAGCCACAGACATGTAGCGTGATGTCCCACCCAGTCACATTATCCTGACGCCAGGCTGACCAGTCCTAACGCTAACCTCCTAATGCCGACCAGTCCTAACACTAACCTCTTAGCTCATTAACCCCTGGAGGTTTTGTCGTTTTTGTCTGAAATGCGAGTAGGAAATCGATTTTGGGAGATATTTTTAAATACATTATAATACATCGACTTGGAAAACATTTTTGGCGAACTTAATGCCTATTTGTGTTTGCGCGTTTGCTTGAGCATGTGAGCATGAACAGAGGGGTAAAAATTGGACTTTTTTTTTTTTGCTTAACGGACCCATCATTTTCGTGTCGAGACCACTCTTCGTTCTAAATGCCTACTTTTTGCAAAGGTTCACATGCCTGTGCAATTCAGACTGGTCTGTCTTAGATCTCAGGTCAAAAAGTCTAAAGTCCAGAAACAAAACCAGATCACGACTTTAGGCGAGTTTCGACTGGAAAAAAACTGGGATCCAAAAAGTGAGTTTTTTTTCCTCTGTATTTTGTAGTGCAACTAGAACATCCATATTGTTTGGTATCATCGTAAAGCTACATCTGTCTACCTTTCAATAATACCACCTACTTTATTGTGTCGCATATGACCTTAACGCTACAGAGCTCAGAAGTAGGCTACCACCTCCTGCACCGTAAACGCGGCGCTAGGGGATTAATTAATGAGTTAATGCCGAGCATCAAGCGAGGCAGCTGTTATTACCATTTTTGTAAGTCTTTGGTATGACTCGACCGGGGATAGAACCCACGACCTTTCGCATCCGAGGCGGACGCTCTATCCACAAGGCCATCGGAGCGGTTGAATTAAGAAAAGAAAGCATTCAAATATTGGATCCAATGAGACATGAATTATATCAAACAATTACCAACTTGGCCACATGTCTTCAGAAGGATTTATATGGAGATTAACAAATAAAATAAACAATAAATGGAGACACAACATGAAGTAATAAATTACTACCTTTTGAGGTTCTGTTGCTGCTATTATTGATGTGACATGATGTGATTATGATTTTTAACATAGCTTTAACAATTTTTCATTCATATCGCGACGATGTCTGCAGTGTGGCAGTTTATAGTGATGTCCGTTATTGATGTTGTTGTTGTTGATGATGATAATGATAATGTTCTGCTACATGACGAAAAGTAAGAAGAAATGCATTGGAAATTTAAAAGTGAAATGAAAACATTATAAGTCCACAATAAATATTCACATCCCATGCAGGTAATTAGGAGAAGACTTTATGTCAGTTTTACCTATATTTTAAAATAATTGCAGATGTTTCTATGTAAGTTCATCAGAAAATTTTCAATTTCATTAAGACAAATCAGTAAACAAGTAAAGGGTATTTTCTTAAATGTTAAATATGATAGCTTTAAATATGATGAAAAGGCATACATCAATAGCAATTTCCCATTAGTTATGCTTTATCAATAATTATGCAATGCTAATGTTTTTAACATTAATTATCAGTGTGGTCACGAACAACAACATCATCAACAACAACAACAACAACAACAATAATAATAATAATAATAATAATAATAATAATAATAATAATAATAATAATAATAATTTTATAATCCGGAATAATAAATTATGCGTACCGGATTCCATATTGCTTTGACGCGGTATAGGTATGGCCGTTGGTTCCCAGTGCGGATGTTAACATGGTGTAGAGCTGAGACATTTAAAAATGTGTTGGATCGACTATCTTGAAGTTGCCATCTGGTAATATCATGTGTTGTTTGTACTGAGTTTTTTTTTTCATGAGAGAAAAAAATAGTGAAAAAGAAAATATGCTGCTTGTATGAGAGATATACTATTTATTATGATGATTATCATAATATATAATTACATGTTCTTGGTGAATATATATATATATATATATATATATATATATATATATATATATATATATATATATATATATATATATATATATATATTCACAGTGTACAAACAGAAATTGTAAGTTGTTTTTGTTTGAATAGGGTGGTGTGGTGTGTATGTTTTTTCAGTCATATCGCTACGATGTCAGCAGTGTGGCAGTTTATAGTGATGTCTAGCACTAGGGCATCATGCCGCAGACATGTAGCATGATGTCCAACCCAGTCGTTATCCTGACGCCAGGCCGACCAGTCCTAACACTAACCTCTTAATGCTGAGCGTCAAGCCAGGTAGACCAGAAAGAAGGTCTATGCTTTTTTCTCTTTTTCTGCTAGCTGTCAGAAAAAAAGCAGAGACCTACTTGTTGGTCTACAAGCGAGGCAGCTGTTAGTACTATTTTTGTAAGTCTTTGGTATGACTCGACCGGGGATCGAACCCACGACCTCCCGCATCCGAGTTGGACGCTCTAACCACTAGTCCACCAGAGCGGTTTTTTGTTTGAATAGTATTACAGAGCAAAATGAAAAATGATTGGAGCGATGGTATTCAAGATTCTCATCCTATTGAAACTTGGCCTTGAAGTCGTGTTTCTCAGGGATAAAATAAATATGTCCGAAAACAATAATATATTGCACATTGTGATGAAATCACTAGTTCATGTTTAGATTTTTACATTAATTGTCAGTACATATATTGATGTTTCGTTTCCTTTGTCTAGGTTTACGTCAGATAGTCCATGGTGCAACAACTGTTGTCTGACCATCCATAAATGTTGTGTATTTTGTATTTATGTCAATGTGGCATCTAAATCATTTGTACAAGTTTCTGCATTGTTGCTCTGTCATCTTTATCCATGTTGATTTTGTTTTTTACTGAAATTGTTGGTGACTGGTGACTGTCTGGCTGTCTGCAAGTCTGAATTCTCCAGTGCAGACAAGAGCATTCTTCAGGTTTCTGAATTGTGTAGTTACTAATTCATGTGTCAGTTATACAAATTCCATGAGCGTTTTCGTCTTCCAGTCAACTATCTGTTTAAGTACATGGTTCATAGACTCACAATTATTATTTTTCCACATGCGGTCAGTCTGATAATTTTTTTAAACGGTTTGTTGACTTTTAGTTCCACAGAAACTGCATCTTTCTTTCCATTGTTAGACATGCGCCCTGATTCTGGAATTCAAATCATGTAGGTGATAAGAAATTTACTTTCCGACTTTGCAGCATTGGTCAGGGCCTTTTTTTCCCTTCAAATGGAAAGTGTTTTGCAGTCTGGAAATATATTTTTACAGTTTAGTTTAAGAAAATCACAGACATGTCCTTAATATCAACTTCATTTTTTTAGCTTCCACAAAATCAGATTTGATCATGATTTCATGTGCAGAATGTCACTGGTATCAACTAACACTTATGGATGGAGCAATATCTCACAGCATTTTAATGAATTTACCAAGAAATGTCGATTATGGCAGGAATGGACAGAATCATTTTAACACATTATTTACATTCATTAATTGTAATAATCTGTCAATTGCAATTACAAATGAGGTTTTCATAGATAACATGAGCTGTATTAGTCTTTTAAATGTATAGGTCAATGAATTCAAAAGAATATACAAATAATAATGATAGAATATATAGATGGATACATAGAGAGGTACATTCATCACAAAATAGACAAAAATTAAAATCTAGGAATCATAAATTTGATCAAAATATTTACTTATAGAATAATAGCGACAATTGATACTTGTATTTCACTAATTAAATGATATTGTCTAGTATTCATTACACATGACATTTGTTGTACATTTATTTATATATATTATTTCCAAATAACTCCCTTAAATGAATGGGAATATGAATTACATGTCAACATGCTGTTACCACGGTTTAAATCAATATTTTGATTTTTAACAAATGTAACAAGAATTAGAAAATATGAAAAGATTTGAACTTTGAAGTATACAATAGAAGGCAATTACATTCATTCACATAAATTAGCTTGACATAAAACTTGCTCAGCACTGATAAGGAATCATTATCAACATCTGGCATCTAATAATAATAATAATATTTATAATAATAATAACTAGGACTTTATATAGCGCCTAATCTTTAGAAGCTCCAAGCGCTTTACAACATTTGACAATGCTTAAAAAGTCATCATACATATTCTTTTGAATTCTTACATATTTTTTTATGTTTCTCCTGATGGTAAAGGTTCATTCTTTTGTTTTAAAACTATGACTTCCTTCCTCTGATTTTTCTCTTGTCCATGCCTTTGCCATTTCAGTGTTCAGCAAACATGTTTGGCACTTTTGTACAAAGTTATTGCGTTTGAATTATTGTTGACACATTATCATTTGCAGACATTACAATGGAAGAATGTTGAAATCACTGACTTCCTGTTTCAGTGTACTGCTTTCATTTAGAGCCTGTAGTTTTGGTCGAAGTGCATGTTTTTTTTTCATTTGAGGCCATCAATAAAGGCAGTCTTCAAGAAATTACCCAAAACCATTTCATATAAATTAATAAAAAAAAAACAAAACCCTGTAAACATTACATCATCCACATCCAAATCAATCTCTGCATAATCTGTATGGAAAATGTCCAGCCAATATGCAATTAGGTCAGCATTATAGAAAATCATCCCAATAATATATGTTTGAATCTTTGATCCATGGAGATGAAAACTACTTTGTCAACCTCGATTGAATGAAATTATTCAATTTTCTAAAGAAAAGAAAACATCATCCCTCACATGAATTAAACTTTTTGATTTTCCTTGTCTATTTATCATGGATATTGTGACAGATTCGTTCTATTAGCTATTTCTTCTTCGTCAATGTGAAGTTTCTCCAATAATTGATGTTTCAGAATTTCTACTCTCTGCTGCAACTTGGATCCCTTGTCCATTCATCCTGTATTTCTGATGACATCCTGAAGTAACTGATCTTTGATCTATGAATGCATGCTCCAGCGATATACTGTAGCTTTCATGTGGCAGCTGGTATTAGGTTATCTGTCCCCATTAACAGATTTACTGGCATGCCCTGGTAACTTTCTTACTATTTCTGCATGATATCACTTTGTCTTCTGGATTTTCATCTCCAACAACTACATTAATAATTTAGAAGAGAACTTATTTTGTTCTTTGGAAATGATTTCCACTTCAAACAAATTTATGCACATGTTGAGGTGTTAATCACTAGCAAGGAAAGCCTGATCCAGTTTGTAGACATTTGACCAAAAAGCAGAGGTTTTTAATTTTAAGTCTTTATCCATCCATGCTGAGACTCTAGCATACAATCAATCTGTGTAAGCTATTAGCAGCTGTGATCCAGCTTCAGGCAAAACCAATAAGCACTTTTTATTGCTCAACATTGGTTTCCTGATATGAGTTTACTGAGAATGGACAATCTACTAAGTTTGTCTGCCTAGAGTCTGAAGGACACTATAATAAAACAATTTGCTTTGTCAGTCCTAATTTGTCAGTCATCCTTGGTATGTATATTTGCAGAACAAGTACTCTTTGCACGTTCCTGTCATTTGCCATCAGTGTTTGTTTCCCTACCTGCATTGACATTGTTCCCTAATGATCATCACATTGCCTTTCTGAGATTGACAGCACAAAATGTCCTCTTTCTTTTCAACTCCAACATAGCTGTCAATGTCATACACTGATTGTGGATGTTTGAGGCATGCTGATTTTTAAGTGTACTTCAGAATCCTGAGGCCTTCTTTGCATGATGCTTTTCCCATGGACAACTCCTATTTGACCAGGTGAGAAAAATGAATAGCAGTCCAGTCTATCCAGTGCTTGTCCTTGTGCCCTGTGGATTGTTATTGCATATGAAAGTTGTATGGGGTATTGGATCTATGCTGCAACACATCCTTATTACATTGCAAATTGAACACTTCAAAGCTGATCAATGGCAATGGAAAGATTTCCCAACAAAATTAATGACTGGATGTCCTTTTTCTGGAAGAACATGCACTACTCCTCCTGTGCCATGCAACAAAACATTTGATATGTTTCTAACTAAAATCACTGTGGACCTTCTTTCAAGACCAGTATCTTGGGTGCTGCGGCTCGCTGATGATAAATCTTTTGCCCTGAAAATAAATATTAATTTTATTGTTTTCTAAAAGGCAACAATAATGCTCTCAATAATGTGGGATTTCAAATTAAACACCAGCAAAATTCGAGATTAATATATCCCTTTCCCATATGGATCCCTTTCTTCATCACCCTTAATACACCTCAGTTTTATTGTTCTTTATGTTGTACATTGCCCTAAAGGTGTTTCAAAACATACCCAAGTCAATAGGGTTAATTTTATTTAGTCAAAAAGCATGAATCTGAAACCTTCAATTTGTGCTTTAATGCAAATGGTGATGAAATCAGCTGATAATTCTGAACTTTAATTTGACTTATCTGCATAGAGACAACAATTATTTATAAGTCTCCCTCTTCTTCCATTCTATCTGGGTTTTTTTTTTATTCTTTTAGGTATTATTGCCCTTTATATTAAACCATTTACACTTAATACTTTTGATTTCTGACATTTCAAACTTGATCCTTGATTTCAGTTCATCTATACCTTGGGGTCCAATGTCCCCATTCCCTTACATTTAACATTTTCTTTTCATCATACAAGTGTTAAACATTACTATAAATTGCCACACTGCAGACATCATAGCAATATGTCTGAACAATTGTTAAAGCTATGTTAAAAGTCCAAATCACATTACATTACACAATTCTCTCTGCTATGTCAGAATTATCCCCCTAGATATGTTTTTTTTTTTTTAAATTAGATCCTCTTTACTATATCTCCCATCATAAAGACCAGCCCAGTGATGCACTGTAGTTTCCCTATTGTTGGAGACCGGGTGGCCATTCCCATCAATGAAGTAAATGACACTAAATTTTGTTTTTAATTACATTGGAAAGAAAACATATCTCCAGATATGAATATAAGTAATTTTATATTGTCATTTGTTTTTTTTATTCTGCATGATCAGGAACTGCTGCTGTGACTGTAATGAAAAAATATTACTGCATGAAAATTAGTCTCTCTCTCTCTCTCTCTCTCTCTCTCTCTCTCTCTCTCTCTCTCTCTCTCTCTCTCTCTCTCTCTCTCTCTCTTTAAACTTTCAAGACTCATTAAACAAATTGATTGTATTTCCAGGCTGACAACCAATTACCAACCTGAAGTAGGAGGAATGATAAGATTTAGAGACATTTACACCAAGGCCATGGAATTTTTTGTCCCTCCTCTGTTAACCCCTTCGAAGGAAATGCTCTCAAAAATGATCATATCATTATTTCCTGAATCCAAACGTATAGTCATTTATGAAAATCGTATTGGATACAGTTGTTGTACAGGTCTTGTGGAGAGATGTAAAATTTCAACTGAAGACACCCCAGTCCTTATTCCAAAAGAATGTAAAGCAGACAAAGACAGTTCGGGGCACTTGATGAT